AAAACACAACTCCTTCTACACACATACATACCTCAGATTTGCAAGCATTGCTATCCAATCTGAGGAGCAATTTGTTATTTTTTGTCAGAGAGGAAGGCTGCAGTCTCTCAAAGTACTTGGCTGCTTGCTTTAAGTGATTCAGAAATTCCTTTATAAAACGCATATATTGTGTTTCAGTCTTAACGGGAATTGACAAGGCTTCTGTGCACTGTGCAGCCTGTCAGTTGTTGCATTACATGAAATTACTAGCTTACCATGAAAAGAATTTAGGATTATTCCTGAAGTATACATATGCACTTCTTTACAAATGTCTCTTGAAATTTTCAGCTGGCACAAGCTAAGTTTATATCTAAAAATAAGTGGGGTTTTTTCCCTATTTTTAATACTGTTTTTCTTTCATTGCAGCATTAAAATGCATGAAAAGAGAAATGCAAAGAAAAAGAATGATGAAAAAACACCTAAAGGAGCTGTACCAGCATACCTGCTGGACAGAGAGGGCCAATCCCGGGCTAAGGTTCTATCTAACATGATCAAACAGAAAAGAAAAGAAAAAGCCGTAAGTAACTGTATTAAAATTCAGATACTTATAATTACTTGTGACAGTGACCACTTTGAGTGGCTGATACTCAGGTGACGTACAGCTTATAAGAAATGTCTAATTAAAACCTGAAACATTGAGCAACTGAGAAATAAGAGTATGCAGTATCACAACATTAATAACTTTAAATGCTGATTAAAGTGAGTTGGCTATGAGTTGTATAAGAAGTCTGGTCTACCACTACGCTTTAGGGAAATTTTTATTCTTTGGTTGTCCCTTCATTTAGCAACGTAAGACTGTTGACTGTTCTAGGGGAAATGGGAAGTTCCTGTCCCAAAGGTCCGTGCACAAGGAGAAACTGAAGTTTTAAAAGTGATTCGTACAGGAAAGAGAAAGAAGAAGGCCTGGAAGAGAATGGTCACAAAAGTTTGCTTTGTTGGAGATGGCTTTACCAGGAAGCCTCCTAAATATGAGCGATTCATTCGACCAATGGTAATGTCCTTGAGCCTTAAAGCATGTTTAATTCTTTGACTTACTGCTTTGAGTTCTTATGGGAGGAAGCTTACTTCTATGATAATGCACTTGATTACTGTTGATGTAGAACACTTCTGTTAGTTCCCTTGAAGAAATCTAAACTTCTAATAACCTGAAGGTAGGGAGATGCCCCCTTCAGCCACAGCCTGTGCTGAAATACCTCTGCTCGTACTCCCCTAACTCAGGTGATGCCAGTAAGTTAAAGCTGCAAGCTCTCAAATTAGCACAGAAGTCCATTAACAAAGGCGCACTGAATAGCTTTTAAAGTTGGAGGCTTCTTTTTCAAGCTGCTATGGTTCTGTCAGCTGTAAAAGCCGTCTCTCTTCTAGGATTCCAGAGCTCCTTCTGTTTGGCTTGTTAAGTGAGCTTGAAGCACAGCAATTATTCTTGTACTATGACTAAAAATGGTTATCTGAAAATATATGTGGATAACTTTATCTTGTTAGTGATCCAGTTTTTCAGTAAATCTGGTCTTGCATAGTAAGCAGACAGCATTCTGTGCACTAAATTGTTTCATTCTTACCAGTATCTCAAAACATAGGAAACTCAGAATATAATGCTGGAATTAAACTAGATTAGTCATGAGGGCTTAAAACTAATACTATCTCATTCTAACATTCCTTACACAACAGGGCTTACGCTTCAAGAAGGCGCATGTGACGCATCCTGAACTTAAAGCTACTTTTTGCCTACCTATCCTTGGTGTAAAAAAGAACCCTTCTTCTCCTTTGTATACCACACTTGGTGTAATTACCAAGGGTACCGTCATTGAGGTGAACGTGAGTGAGTTGGGCCTCGTGACACAAGGGGGCAAAGTTATATGGGGTAAGTACTTTTGTATGTTTTTAGGTCTTTGATGCCTGATGTATCATTGAGCCCACAGCCTATAGTCATAAGGTCTTTGCTAGGTGTTAGGTTTGGGCTGTAGCTGAAACAACTGCTATGCAGCTCTAAAAATGCAGGCTTTAAGTGTTACTCTTAGGCTTTCCAGTCACACTTTCAAATTAAGGGAAGTTCAGAATAAATATTCAACTTGTTTGCCTGTGTCTCACACTAAGCAACGCTGCAAGTGTATAAAGATGTAACCTTGTAACTATGAACAATTATAATGTTTTCAATGGAAGTTCCAGGTAGAAGCATATTCATAGGACCAGACTGTGAAGGGTCAACAGAGAGGTTGACTTGGACAGTAGCAGAACCTGTGTTGGTTTCCCCACCCCATTTACCCAGAACTCTAAATGATCCATTCATAAAAAACAGCCTGAATAAAATATTTTGGGAACCTAAGTTTGCAGCTCAGCGAAGATGAGATTTAGCTTTCAAAATGCATTTCAGGTTTGTAACAGGAATTCCCTTAAAAGAGACATGTGGACTGAACTTGCAAACATAGACATTTAATTCCCTTTTCTCTCCAGGGAAATATGCACAGGTAACAAACAATCCAGAAAACGATGGCTGCATTAATGCAGTTCTACTTGTTTAAGTTGTACTTGATACCAAACATTGGACATGAGCTCCTGCAAAAATCAGTGGAGTTTCAACAAGTTTGCAAGATCCCTGGAACCTTCAACCATTCAAGAATGTTGACCCCCACAGGCTGGTAAAGAACTTAAAGATGCCAGAAACAACTGCTCGAGTTTTTGTATTTAGTATGTTTGTTCAGCTGAATGATGTCCAAATAAAAGGATGCAATTTTCATGTTTTGCTAATGTCGTATGGGTTTGATCTGAACTTTAGTGGTGGTTTTACAGTAGCAGTTTCCTGGCTTAGATATATTGTATAAGTTCTTAATTCAGCTTACATTTCTAGTGGTAGGAAACACAACCACTGTCTCACATGATGTCCTACTGTAATAGCTGAAGGTACAGAAGAATATATTAACTTTTACTCTGCTTCTGGGAAACCGGAAGAGCTGGAAGAATGCAGCTAGAATCTTCCTGCAGACTGACATCAGAAATTAAATGCTCAGTTTGATACTTGCCTTTACAGAAGCATGGGCTATTTCGTACTCCATCATGACCTCAACATCTTTCTCCTCTCTGCCTCCATGGCTGCATTAATGGAAAGAATAAGGGCTGGAGAGTTCAGGACTGTAGTTCTAGGCAAGAGGAGAACAGTGTCGTAAGTTTAAATATATCAAGTTGGGTTTTTAAGATGTGAAATTTGAGAAAGGCATGACAGCCCTGATCCTACTTGCAGCTATTTTGGTGGCTTTAAGAAATATTCAAGAAAAACTAAAGATCACAAGCATCAACTGATCAATATATGTTTAGCTTCTGTCTTTGAAATACAAGAAACAAAAGCTGCTTCTAAACTGGAAGCTTTTGGTGATGTAACTGCATCAATAATATTCCTGTCAACAATTTGGTAGCAGACAAATTCAGCAGAATCTATGACTACATATAAACATACTTGCCTACTTACACTCCAACTCTTAAATAGTACTTCATGCCAAGGAGCTTTTTAACACAAATTCCACATCAAATTAAAGCCTTATAATCTTTCTCTAGTTTATGAGGGCACTCCAACCTCTTAATATTGTAAGAAGGAAACTTTCAAACAAAACCTTCAAGATACTTCAGAGGCCAGAATGTGAATACATTGGCATTGGGGATTTTTGTATTAACATGAGTTCAAGGTTAGAGGTGGTCACACTTGCAATAAGTAAATTGAGGGGCAGATTATAGAATCACAGAGTAGTTAAGACTGGAAGGAATCTTAAAAAATGGTGTAGTGCAAGTCACCTACTTAAAGCAGAGTCTGCTGCAGCAGGGTGTCGGGGCCATATCCAGTCAGGTTTTGAGTATCTCCAGGAATGAGGACTCCGCCACTTCTCTGATCTTTTCAACATGATCCAGTGTACGACCGCTTTTGCAGTTTAAGACATTTTATGTTTAAATAAAATCTATATTCTAGGTTGTCCTGTATATGGGCACCACCAAGAGTCTTGGTCCACCGTCTTTATACTCCACACCACCTCCTCTCCCCGGCCTGGTATTTGCACACAAAGGTCAATCCTCCCGAGCTTTCTCTTTGCCAGTCTGAACAATTGCAGCTCTCAGCCTCCTGTTTGACACATACTCCAATCTCCTAATCATCTTCATGATGTTTCAGATCTCAGATAATGTTTCAAATTTCAAACTCTGGCCAGCAAGTCAAGCTAGGTGCTTTTGAACCAGCTTTCTTCTCTTACACTATGATAGAGGCAGTACTTCAGCTATACCTCACCACCTTCTCCTCTTAACAGGCAATTCTGTTAGTTTTAACAAGTTACCCTAGCATATACTTAATAACTTGCTATGATTTTTATTCCTTTGTAGTGACAAGAGATTTTAAACTAAGAGAAGGTTGCAAGCCAGTAAGTCATTTGCTTGGAGAGAGGGCATTTGTCAAAACGTAAGCCTTCACTGAAGTTCTTGTTACTTCAGCCTTTACTGCACATTAACAAGTCACATGAACAGAATACCTTCATTTTGTACAGCTGTCTCAAGGACATTACTCCATTTGTGCTATAAATATGCCAGTTGTTGGCTGAATAAACATTGTTGCACTTACGACATCTTAATCTACCATGCTGTGGGAGTGCATTAACAGCATTTCTAGTTGGCTTGTATATAGCAAACTACCTTAACAACTGCTGTTTATGTCATCTTGCATAGCTGGTATAAACAGCAGAACATACACTGTAAACTTCAGAACAGCCTATTCTACAGCTTTTATTAAAAAAAAAAAGTGATCCATAAGCTAACTAGGTACAGGGAATCGTTTTAATTGATAGAATACATTTCAGTTAATAATCTTTTGAGCTTTTAAAGCTCCTTGGTAGCAGACAGATTGCAAAATCATGGCCATTCTAAGAAAACTGAACCACTTCAAAACAAGTCTCCTGTACAGCAGAAAGGACTGATACTATAAACCAAGCGAAAAGTAATCACAAAATATAAGTTTAATTACTACTTCAAACATTTCAAAAGCTGCCAAGACAGTACTAAAGAAAAGGGAAAACTGACAGTAACAAGATTTCAGTACAATACTCCAGAATAGTTATACAGCTTTCTTAAGATTCATAAACAGCATATCACTAGTTTAGAAAACATCTACTATCACCTGGAAGTGTATCCTTTTGGAAAGTTTCATAATGATCGCTTAAAGCAGAGAAGCTGCAACTTGGGCCTACCTGTTGCTATGTTTAACTAAGTAGCATTCATGACATGGTAAATGATCAATTTGAGTACTGACTTCTGCAAATGATGTTGTATAAGGAACAAAACAAAGGTCAGACTTAATTTGAAATTACTTAAGTACTTTTGAAATAAGACATGTATACGCTTCCACATAAAGGGCTACGAAACATGAGAACAGCGAACAAGAACCCTACATGAAATGAAAACAGACCAAAAGATAGTAACAAGAAAAGCAAATCCTGTTAATAAGCAGTAAAAGACATTTGAAAAAACTCTTGGATTCAAATCCACACCATTTACCATTTAAGTTCAAGGCTGAAGTCACAAATTAATATTCTTTAAACTCTATTCCTAGGCTAAATAAAGCTCAAAAATAATCCTCCTTGCTTTCACTGTACACATGTAGTTCCACAGCATGTTGTAATAGCATTTGGTACAAACTTGTATAAAATTGGTGTTTTAATCATTGGTTGCTGGTGCAATAAGATCTTAAATTCTGTGAGTTTGATGGTAGCAAGACAGTTAATGGATCAAAGAAAGAAATCGTCCAAGCCTAAAAAACAATTTTTCCCCAAGGTAACGTGCTTGTCAGTACAGTGGTCAGGTATGTTCCCTTGTATTAATGGAACAAATTATACACTGTTAAACTACTGTTCCAATGAGACAGTCAATACAGCAATAAAAACTGTTATTTAAAGTCAGTATTCTGATTTTGCTACTGTATTTACTGCATGATTGATGCCAGAGAAGTTGTTATAAACCGCACCATTTAGTTCAAAGTATGGTTGCAACCACAGTTAGAACATCCAGTTTTCAAGACTGTACTAGTTACGTAAATTGCTAATTGCACCCAACTGCCTACATTCTGTATGTGACAGTCTGGCCATCAGCTACAATTTCAGGTACCCCAGATCTAGACAGATACCTACTCAAGAGTATACCTGGAGATGTGAATTTAAGTTCATTACTTAAAACTGACTCACTGAAATGCGATCAGAAAGCTAATTGCTCCTAGTAGAAACCAAGACTGACCTAACCTAATGATCCTGTTGTAATATTTGTGTATTCAAGATGCAAATATCTTAAAGAAAGATACCTGAAAATAGGCTACAACTTTGCCGTGAAAAGTAAAAGCCAGGTGAGTGACATTACCTTCTCATGAAGAGTTTTCCAACCTCAGAGAATACAAGCAATGAATATGTATATCAAGAGTACCTAGGAGTAATTGAAATAACTAGGACTCATGTTTCATAAACAAAAGAATCCTTAACTTTTTGAAAGTGGATACATTTGTAATTGAACTATTTGGCAGATCTATCTTTAGTGAAGTTCCCTCTAAAAATGGACAATAAGTCACAATACACTGTATACAACCACACTTTAAGCCACCAGCCCTCACAACCGACAAATTCTTCACAATGCAATAGATTTGCTTTCTAGCCACCTTCTGTTCAGTTTTTGGTTTTATGTTTGGTTTTTTGTTTGTGGGGTTTCATTGGGTTTTTTTTTTCTTTAATGCAATACATATTGGCAGTAAAAGAAAAGCCATACAACAGAACTTTTGTGTGTTTTATAGAAAATGCTGGATTAATTTTAGAAATAATTAAGGTTCACTTGAATATGTTTACAATCATGAAAGATCTTGAACATTTATCAGTCACTGGCTTCATAAGGAATACCTGTATGTATATTTATCAGTCACTGGCTTCATAAGGAATACCTGTATGTACATAAGGAATACCTGTATGAACATTTATCAGTCACTGGCTTCATAAGGAATACCTGTATGTACATGTTACAGCTACATGCAATAGTTAAAGAAACCCAGATTTAACTCGTGCACCCCCTGAATCTACAGTTTACATATTTAAAAAAAAACAACTTTTTTTTCCCCCTACAAGCTGCTCTTACCAGATTAAAAAGGGGCACACTACTTCATCAGCTGAAAGAAATAGTATGAATCTATCTTATACAGTTAAAATATCTTATAAATACAGTTAAAGTGTGTAAGCATAAAAACTAAAACCAGATTCTTGGATTAGATTCAGAGGGATAACAGTTAAGACAGCATTGCAACTATTCAAGTGAACCCTGTATTCTTAAGTCCTGAACAGCAATTTCTAGAGACTTCTGGTTTTGAGATACTCTGGGAGACTAGTTCACCCCCTTAGAAAAGACATACAGCGGGACAAATAGTGGTGTGATTTCCTGTTCTTATTGAAAGAAAAACTTTGCCAGCTAAGTAGTAAACTTACTCTAGGTGTGACAAAGTTAAATACATGGCTTGCCAGGAGAATCTCTCAAGGGGAACATGCATGAAAAGCCTGTTTATATTTTTGTTTGCTTACAGCAAAGTTTGGTTGCTGCTTTTAAGGAAAGCTGTGCACTGAAAAGCTACCATTTCAGGGATTATACCCGAGTTAGAAAAAGGAAGTGGGAATCAGAAGTATTCAGAAGCAATCTTCTGCTAACTCCTGAAGGCATAGAAGTATGGCAAGCCAGCATTTGCTGAAACACTCACCAATATTCACACCAATGAATGTCACAACCACCTGATATGCCGGTGTTCACAGAAGTCATACTTGGCAAACAGTATTTTAATTGTTATCCCACAGGACCAGCCAACTATTTGGAAAACAAAACACTGCTTCCATTCAGACAAAAAAAGAGATCAAAAATTGTCATACTCTTTCTGTAATGTAACCAGCATTCAAGTATCCACTCAACACATGCAGATAGTTAGGAAGGTAATGTATGTACTGTATGCCTATACTCCACACACTGAAAAAAGTCTCAGACTTACTCAGATACTTGCTTTGGAACCTACCAGTAATTTACTGTGTAGGCATCTCTTAATCCCCAAGTGAGAAAAATTCATTATCAGACACTGTGCTGACCCTTCTCTACTGACACAGCTGTTTCAAGCAATTCTCACAAAAGACACATGCTGCTTATGTTGTTTTTATCTACTGAATTTTACCTTATGTAATTTTGAGACCTAGATTTACAGAATATTTTTTTTTCAATCTCATGTGAGAAAGTCTATGGGGAGGGAACAAGCAGCAAGGAAGGATTTTCTTTTTCTGCTTCCCCCAGAGTAGAAAACAGTTACTTACAACATAACAAATGGTAGACTGATCTCTGGCCTCGTGGAATTTAGGGAACCTCAACAGGGCCAGGATTTCAGGCTACATTTTTTCTTCCACGACTACCACCTTAAATAAGACAACTGTTCCCTTTGCTAGCACAACTGTATTCAGCATGTATCCTTTATGAAAGGAGGAGACGGGCTGTTTACTTCCATAACCTGAAGCTCAATGTCTAGTACTTAAAAAGTCAAGAAAACTTCATGAAAGTTGATAAATCCCCAAAAGACATCCAACCCAGAATTTTAAACATGTGTCCCATGTCCCATATGGTTTAGTTAAGCCCTAGTGTTTTACACAAAACAACAACTTTCTTATAAATAGATGACAACCAGTATTTCGTTTCTAAAGTGGCTTTCCTTTTTTCTTGGGCGGACCTTTGTAGCTTTTCACCTTTCTTCGCAAGCTTCTCCGATCTACAACAGGTACCTCAATTTCTGCTTCCTCAGAGCTGCTGTCAGCAGCCCGCTCTGCTCCTGTCTGCATGTACTGATCCGTCTGCTCAGCAGTCTCTTCTGACTGCTCTTCCAGCTGGGTCTTCTGTGCTTCCTGTCCAGAAGGCTGCTGAAAAGAAACCCCATCAAGTTCAACCATTATCAAAGAACTCTGACTCAGGGCAACAGGGGCCTCCTGTGAGTTGTGCCCTGCTTCCTCATTTTGATCTTCCAATGAGGAAGCTGTTTTGGGAGAGACATTTTCAGAAACAGACTCTTCTACTGCTTCAATTACCATGGAGTTGGGCAGGCCACTGTCAGGGGGCTCTTCCTTTGATGCTGAAGCAGCTGCATTTTCAGTGGCAGCCTTTTCAGGTTCTTGCTGTTCTTCAGTGTCCTCTTTCAATGTGCTTTCTTCAGTCAGCATTTCTGAATCACCCACAGTTGCTCCCTGTTTTCAAATTTGAATTATTCAAAGGATTATTCAGGTACAATAAAAACATTCTGAAATTAATCCCCAGGTGTGGGTGGGAAGGCAGTTTTTATTTTGCACATACACAATTATCATTTTGGTAGTATGTAATAATCTGCCTTTGCACTATAAGCAAAACCCAATAAAATATTTTTCTAGAAGGGTATTTTACCATTAATTGCTTGCACACTTCGGGGTGGAATTACTAGACAAAATAAGGATGTGGCTTTTCACTCATATCTAACTAATATTTTAGTAAGAAAGCTGTTTCATTACTGTCAAGGCAAACTGGAGCAACATATCCTTCTTTTTGGTATCACATGGATATTTGACCCACTTCTGCATACCAAAACAGAAATGTTAGTCTATTCTGTTCAAAGATTCACATCATCTGATCTAATAATTACTTTTTCCGAGAATTTCATATGATGGTGGGGGCTATTCTGAAAGAAAAATGACTTCACATTTTGTTTCAATTCTCTCACCTTCTCTGATATAGTGTCTTCTGAGGGTTTTGCTGCAGACTCAAGCATTAACGGAACAAACAGCATTAAGGGTTCTTCTTGACTCTCGGACTGCAATTTTGATTCACTACTTCGAACTTCATTTGCTGTTTCCTCTTCAATCACAGTAAAAGTCTTACAAGTTTCTTCCGTTATTTCACCATTTAGAGGCTCTGATAGAGTTTCCTAAAAAAACAAACAAACAAAAAACCCAAAAAAACCCCCAAACAAATATATGTGTACAAAGAAGGCAGAGTTTAGAGCAGAGTAGCTAATGTAACAGCTTATTAACCTGGTGGTGTCACCTGCACTAAATTTCTAACCATAGTTTACAGCATTAGGAGCCAAGACAAGCAGTTTTTAAGCATCCCACAAGCATACCTTCTGCAGTCACTCCTTGAACCCAATATAGTGTAAGATTCACTTTCTCATCCATCAGAAAGAATATGCCCTAGAGGCATCACTAGGCACAAAGGGTACTTAGATTTAAATTCAAGCTGTTAACAAGGTGCAGATAAAAGCTGCATTTCAACAGCAAAGGAGGTGAGCTCTATATGAAGAAGAGCCAACAGTAGTAACCAAAGCATACCAGCTATTGGCTTTTTCAAAGACATTTTTTTTTATATTTTTTTTTTAATAAATCAGAAATACTGGATCAGATCTTGACCTTATTCCAGTTCTCTGGAATATGCAAGCAGGAAAGAATCAATTCAGAAATTACCTTGGTAGACAAGCTAGAAATTCACCTTATGAGGATCCTATGCAATTTTTCAAAATAAATATAATGGAATATTCCTTAAAATTAATTCCATATTAGCCTCAGTTTCTCAGCTATCTTTCTCAACGTAACATCGATATGAAAATCAAGGAGTTGACAGTCACGTGGATCAAGGCAGCAAGGGCCATATTTAACAGAAACTGTAGCTGTATTGCAAACTTATCTGCTATCACTATGACATCCAAGCTCACCTCCTCCTCACTCCGCTTCTCAGGGTTTGATAAATGTAGTTCTGCTTCTGATAAAGACTGGCCCTCATTTTCATCAGTCTTTTCCTCATTCTTCTCAACAGTATTCTCCTCAGACACTTCTACTAAACCTTCAGAGCTTTCAGATGTGTGGGCAGGAGGTTCCAGCCTGCAGGAGGTATTAAGATACAGCCTTTAGTCTTCTATATTAATACATAATTTTAGTGACCTCAGCAGGGAAATTCTTTCATGGCCAATGATGAAACGCTGTTATGACATGCTTGCCATTCAAAATAAGAGTCCAGAAAACTAAATGCATCTAAAAATGACCAACTCATTAGGGAAAAAAAAACCCACCAGCAACTAGGAAAAATTGCTTTGGCAATTAAAAAATGAAGACATCTATCTCATGTCTGCGAATAAGATGAAAGTCAGAAATTTGTTTGTTAAAGTTAGAAAGCAGTAATCAACTGCGTATTTAGAAGCCACAAAGGGGTGAGAAAGAAAGCAAATTCTCCCACCCCCACTGTAGAAATAATTTAAAATTATGGAGTTATAAAAGCAAATATGTTTGTATAATCATTGAATATTAGAAAGAGCATGACCAGAAAAGAATTTAAGGCAATAAATACATCATGTCTGAAGATTTAACGAGCCAGAAACTGAATTAGCAAATAGCTAAAGATGAAGCTCTGATGCACATGATAGGTAGTAATACCATCTCAACATAAAACTTACATTTAATATTACATACAAGCAATAGACTTGCAGGAGGCTACTTTACCACTTCATAGTAAAGGCAGTATTGGAGGGTTTTATCCCAGATGTCAGTCTTGAGATGAAGGCACTTTACAGGAGAAAGTTCCTGACATAAAACCCTACTGTATTTGCTAACATGCATTAAAGAAAAGAACCAAGCTGATATCCTGCCTTGTTGCCATCAGGATTTCCCTTAGATCTGCTCATAAACACAATGTTACACATCTTACTCAAAGGAGCTGGGGCACCTCATTGGCTTCATTTTGCAAGTCCCAAAATACTAACAAACAATCCAAATATCAGCTAGCAAAATAGTAGTAATAGGACAAAGGATTTTTCAGCCTGTGGAAGCATCAAACCATGCCATTTGACCTGTCTGAACCAGCTTTGGGCAGCACACTGACAAGTGTAGGACAGCAGCGCTGTACCTCTGCAGATCCACAGAGGAATTCAAACACAGAAATTAGGCTGTATCTAGCTGAAGACAACTTCACACAAAAAAACCCACCTAAAGCCACAACTACTTTTAGTTGAAGAAGCCTAAGTGAACAAGTTCAAGGGATTTCCTAGAAAATAATCAGGTTATCTTCAGTTCTTCAAAAGAGGCTTTTAGGGTTGAGGTCAGGTTGTTTTTTCTTTTTTGGAAGTGAACAACAAAGGCAGAAAGACACACACAGTGAGGATAACAATACATGTCTATGAAGAGAATATACTCACACAGGAAAGAAGCAGTAATTTATTTACAATAGCCACAGTTCTGCTTTCTGAAAGACATCACAAATTAGTACTTCAGGCCCTGTCTTGTGTGAATTGTTGCATGCAAGCAGTACAATTCTTCACATCCCCAGCTAACCATATCGCACAGGATAACTGGAGATGACTTCCCCACTACCGTAGTGTAAGTTTGAATTTGATGGTTTTAAAAATCAGAATTTGTGTAAAAGGGCTTTACTTTGAAGACAGGTGGCTTCCTGTAACTTTTGTTACTAAGTGACAAGCAGTAACCAGCTCCCAGACTAAACAGTTGGGCATGCCTCCAAAGATCAGACATAGCACTTTGGATACCTGTTCAGTTATCACAAGAAACTATGCTGCATGAATACAGATGTTTTTACCTTCATGCATACCCTCAACCTTCACCGTTTTCTTATTAGGTCCAGTATTTGCTGAGCCTTCAGACATACAGTTTGGTCCAATCACTGTTCAGGTAGTATCTCAATTTTCTTTCCCACATCATGCTTTATTTTTAGTTATTTTAAAATCAAGCAAGGACAGTAAGAAGGAGAAATGTTAAGTAGTCCACTGTGAGACACTGATGTAGCTTATGATGGCCCAAGCAACAAAGTAAGAAATCAGTAAAATACAGGCTTCTCTACCTGCTTTCTGACACAAAAGCATTTTCCTCGTTTCCTTGGGAAGTTCCAGATTCCTGTCTTGTCTTTCCTATCTTGGGACGTTTTAAATGACTGGTTCGTGTTCGAATGGAACCAGGAGCTGTGCTAGGGTCTTAGGAAGAAAAAGAAAAACAGCAAACAAAAAAACACCAAAATAAAACACCAAAATAGATGCTAGTGAACAAATGCAGTCTAAGATCTGCATACAATTCTTTCCCCCCAAGTACTTCATTAAAGCTGAGCGCAAGCAGAACAGCATTTCATTGCAGTACTTCTTTTCTGAATACACATGCCTAGTATCTTTACCAAGACTCATACCAAGTTTATCCAAAGTCCTCTGAAAGGTTTGAGTTGAGCCCCAGAGCCTTGGAGGAAGGTATGTTTTTATACATTTTGCAGATGATTATGTGGAGAGTGAAAGCAGTAAAAGAGCCTGCTAACCTATTAATCCACAGTAATCATAATACTGATAATCAAGGTTATTTTTACCTTCTGATGTGCTTGCATGGACATCTGTTGATTCTTTACCTTTTTGAAATTCAGCCTGTGAAGAAAAAAAAAAAAAAAAAAAAAGAAGATAATGTTACTCCAAAACTTTCTGAACTGATAGAAATATCTTCATCTCCCTATCTGTGGTAACATTTTTCTAAAGTAGTAGTAAAGTAGTAAAGATCCTATGGAAGAACAGCTACAAGCTTTTGTAACTTAAAATACTTACATGTATTTATTTTATCTCAAGAGATTTTTTTTTTAATTGTTTTTATTTTAAGGATGATTATTTTTTCTGCATTTTATTTCTGGCCTCAACACAGAAGTTAAGACTCCAGAGTAACATGCCATTATAAACAATGATGCCAAACTTTTTTTCCTAACCATTCTATTTATAGCAGATGCCCAGGTAATTAAATGCTAGAAGTCTTTTTTTTTTTTGTTTCCCCTTTCAGTATAAACGCAAGGGCATGCACTACAGTATTTGACAAAGTATAGCAGGGAAGTTTAATTTTTACATTTGTATTCTATTTTTTACTGTGGCATACAACAGAATACAGCAGCTCATATATAAATAAAGAACAAACAGCAAAACCAAAACCACAACAAACCAAACAGAAAAACAACCTACAGAACTGGGTGAATCAGCAGTACTGCAGGTTATATGCATAGCCAGCACAAGATGCTGTTTATTTCAGAGTTCCCTCTCCCTAGAGCTTTTTTGCCTCTTGTTCTTTCCCACCATCTCAATGCTTCTATCTTTTTCCTGCAAGTAGCTGAGGACTCAGTGGTCAAGCACCTCATACTGTGAAGTGGACACAAGCTTCACACATTTACATAATGATATGCACATTGCTCTCAGCTGCTGGAAGTAGTCTAGAACTGGCAACAATCAGCACCCATAATGCTGCTGCATTTCCAGCCTCACTTCCAGTACCACCCAAAGAGGCCAGCAGGAAGCTGCCATATCTACATTCTGCTGCCTGAAGTAGTTTCAAGTGGGTTTTAAATACATAAGAATTTGTAGATTAATGACAAGTTATTCTAGCATCAAACCACATAAAATAGGAAGCACTAAGTAAAGAGTGGAAATGAAAGTTGGAGAATAGAGTATTTTTTCCTGGTGCATAAGAAAGTGGGGTATTTTTTGTTTGGTGGTCCAACAGTTTTCAAAGCATTGCAGAACTGCTGGTAGACAGTGCAGATGCCAACAAGAGAGCTGTCAGCAATTCTACCAAATTATGAGGAGTTGAAGCACTTTGGGATCTACCTTCTTTCTCTTCTGGAAGAAGGTAGAGACAGGGGTAGCGTTCCTAACTCACAGCAACAAAATTCCTAAGAACTACTGTTCTGCTGACTTCTCCAAGCGTATCAGTTATCTATAACCAAAACATGCATGTTTGTCCTGCCTTTGGCTGGGATAGCACTAATTTTCTTCCCAGCAGCTGGTGCAGTGCTGTGTTTTGGCTTTAGTCCAAGAAGAATGCTGATAACACACCAATGTTTCAGTTCTTGTTAAGCAGTGCTTACCCTAATCAAGGACTTTTTGGTCTCTCATGTTCTGCCAGTGAGGAGGGGCACAGGAAGCCGGGAGGAAGCACAGACAGGACACCTGACCCAAACTAGCCAAAGGGGTATTCCATACTACAGCACATCATGCCCAGTATATAAATGGAGGGAGGTGCTACCCAGAAGGGCAGATTCCTGCTCGGGTCAAGCTGGATATCACTCAGCAGCTGGTTAGTAATTGTATCATGCATCATTTGTGTTTATTTGGGCTTTTATTCCCTTTCTTCTTTTAGTCTTATATTTTCTTCATTATTTCCCTTATGATTATTAGTATTATATTATACTTTAGTTATTAAAACTGTTCTTATCTCAACCCGTGGGTTTTACATTCTTTCAGTTCTCCTTACCATCCCACCCAGGGTGGAAGGGAAGAGGGGGTGAGCAAGTGGCTGCATGGTGCCGAGTTACCAGCTGGGCTTAAACCACAACATGATCAGACTGGCAAAATGACCTAAAACATTATTAGAATCCAAATCAAAAAGTCAGTAATGATGTTCAAGACACTGTTACAAAAGACAGACAACTAAGAGTTGTTTCTTCTGGTCATTTAGAAAGACTAAAAACACCACTACTTTGCTGTCAGTTTTGCTTTGGGAAATACTAATTTTCTCAACTAGGAAAAGTGACATTGGACTTACATTTAAAATCTGAAGTTTAGATATTAATTAGCTGGGAATATTGATACAGGCATTATTTCCTATTTTTAATTAAAGCATTGACATCTACAGGAGCATACTCATGTCAGTACCACAGACAGTCTTAAAGCACACAAATTATTTGCAAGGAAATTCTGTGTGGCCTCACAACACAAATGAGTTAGAGGAACAGCTTCATTATATTCAAAAAGATACAAACATAGTCATGACCACAGATCTATCTGTAGCTGAAATCTGATTGATATTTCAAATAAGTAGAATAAAAAAATATCAATATGTAGAAAAAAAGCTGCATTCTTCCTATATGGACAATATTTAACTCTGAATGCCAACCAAACACTTCCCATTATATCGAAATGTGATGCAAATATGCACTTTTATGAACACTTTTCTTCATCCTCTCTACTCTTGAGAATGACTCTATACTTCCAATAGCCTTTCTAGACAGTTAAATCTCAGAGCTAGTTGAAGTACTCTCCCTTCTCTTAGCTGCTAGCAAACAGTTCAAATTACAGACCCTGACAGTTGTGGCACAGACCTTCTACATTCATGAGGACACGCCATTACTGGAAATGTTGGGGAAAAAAAACAACAAAACAAAACAAACACGCAAACCACAAACCCAAACCCCCCCAAAAAACCCAATCCAGTATTTTTTAACCCCACCAGTGTTAAATCAATGGGAAACATAACATCCACCAAAAAAAAAGTAACAAAATAATCTGTATTTTATATAGTGTACTTGAACCAATTAGAGGCAGACAAAAGCATTTCTCTGGTTTTTAGTAATAACGTAATCAAGGAAAAAAAATAGGTAATAGTCTGTGTACCTACACTTAACTGTGTTTGTAGCTCAGTATTCTGTCCACCTGCTTCAGACACTGCTGCAGACTCCAGAAAACGAAACTTTGCTTGGCAGCTCTTTTCTATCTGTGAAGCCTCTGCTGTTGAGATTTGAAAGAGGAAATGGGAAACAGAAAATTATAGTACCTTTACAGATCAATTAACCATTGCAAACACAATGTAATAGACCTCAGGACACGGTAAAAAAAAAAACCCAACAAACACCAACAAAAAACTCCGATCTTTCTCCTAGTTTCCATGGGCAGTGTTCTCAGAATTCACTGTTGTTCTTGTAGTGTTTGTTCAACATTTGCAATATTTCTCAGAAAAATTTGCCAGAAAACAAATCAAAGCATCCATACCTGCAAATCGGAGCCTTTCCCTTTGCACTATAGTTGCAACACATGTTCTCTGGAACCAATATCCTGGTCCATTCACTTCATAAAGAAGGCTTTCATCCGAAGGGTACTTCTCAAGATACTGCTTACAAGCTAAACAAATATAAGAAAACCCTCTCTATTATATATACTTGACTGTACTTCAGTTTTTAAAGTTTATCTGAAATAAACAATTTGCAATCTTCCATCATACACAAGCCAACAAAGAAAGAACTGTTCAACAAAACAGGGGGATCTGAAGTCAGGGATTGGATTAGATGATCTTTGAAGGCCCCTTCCAACCCAAACTATTCTGTGATTCGATGAAATAAACATAATATTGTTTTACCCCACTCATCGTTCTCAGTAAATCCTTTCTTCACATTTAAACACTATTATTATCCTAAACTCCAGACAGAAATGCCTCTTCTCTAAGCATCCACTTCAGAGTTTTACAACTTTACTGGTCACTGCCCATGCCAACCACAAGACCCAGCCAAGAATGGAATGGAGCTCTTTGACACGTAAGTCAAGTGAATTTTGTCACCCCATATTATTATAGGCACTCATGAAAAGCATTGTTTGGGAATGTACACATGTTCTTATTGCACGGTTTATCAGCTACTCACTCTTCACTGCTGAAATTTTTTCTTCCCTGCTGTCCCTCCATCTTTTTTCTCTCAAATACACATATTAAACATACACGTGGAGAGGCACGCTTTAACATTTTTCTGTAGCAGCTACCAGGAAACCTACCATTTTTGTTGTGGTTTAAGCCCAGCTAGTGACTCAGAACCATGCAGCTCCTTGCTCATTCCCCCCACTTCTTCCCTACCACCCCTGCTCCTGGAAGGATGGGGAAGAGAATCAAAGGAATGTAAATCCCATGGGTTGAGAAAAGAACAGCCCAGTAACTAAGGTATAACACAAAACCACTACTGCTACCACCAATAATAATAAGGGAAATAACAAGAGGAGAGAATATAAAACTAAAAGGGGTAAAGAAAAAGAAAATAAACACACATGATGCACATCACAATTGCTCACCACCCACTGACTGACACCCAGCCTGACCCGAGCAGTGATCTGGGTGTTCCAGGTAACTGCCCACCATTTCTATACTGGGTATGACTGGGCATGATGTGCTGTGGCACAGAATACCCCTTTGGCTAGTTTGGGTCAGGTGTCCTTGTCTCTGCTTCCTCCTAGCTTCCCGTCCTCCTTGGCAGAGCATGAGACTCAGAAAGTCCTTGGTCAGAGTACACATTACTTAGCAATAATTGAAAACATCTGTGTTATCAGTGCTGTTCCCAGGCTGAAAATCAAAACCACAGCACTGCAGCAGCTACTAAGAAGGAGAAAAATGACTGCTACTGCTGAACCCAGGACGATTTTTCTCTCAACTCAGCAGTGATGCATAATCTCAGTGGACAAGATCCCTGCCATATCATTCCTTGAATAGGGAAATGGATTAGTCACTAATTTCTGCGCAGTACAGTTTGCTGATTTAAGCCTAACAGGCCTAGTCAGATCTGACAACAGACAGCAGTACCTGAAAAAGCAGAAAATTTCCAGTGGCTGAGGCAGTCAGATGAAAATGTTCGCAGAACGAAGACTGGCAGATGGCCTAAGAATAGGACTAGCCTTGAGAAACAGGACAAAGAATCATGGTCCTTGCCTGAACACAGTCCCAGCTGACATTGTTTCCAGAACTGTGTATCACTTCCTAGGTGACACAGCCCTCTTGGATCACTAATGGAAAAGCCATGTTTCCCTTGTACATTAGAACTGGTATATTATCTTATACCCAAGTTAAAATATAGCCTAGTATGTACATTTGACCATAAAGTTCTGAGAGAGCATGAATTAAGTGGGCAGAACATTTAATACAGAAACTGAGGATGAAGCCACAAACATGGAACTTGGATGACAGCACTCATTTGGACATGTAAAGAAAGCACAAAGATCAAAAGAATAAAGAGCTTGCCTGTGTACATGAAGGATGACAGCGGGTATCGTAGGCCAAGACATTTTTCAGTGAAGGAATTCACAAAGTCTTCCAAAATCATTAGCCCAGAATCTCTCTCACGATGTCTAGGTCTTACAAATGCTGTGTCTAGCACTGGCAGCTTATAATCCTTACCACAATGAGAGCTACAAATACTTCCTGAAATAACAAGAGGGTTAAAAATATCCACTGGCATGCTGCAGCATGGATTTCAGCATATTCAAATACAGACTGTCATAATTTATAAAAATTATATCAAACTATATAATTGTTAGTCATATAAAATGATAAAAATCTATATCTTTCCTTAAAAGTAAGTAATTGCTATCAGCCATTTATTGGTTCTTTTGGCAAGCTTCATAGTTTTGCCAAGATACATCAATAGATTAATATGCTAGAAAAAGTCTGTAGTACCAGAAAAGAATAGCAGGGGAAAGGCTCACTTTGTAAATATAACTATACAATTCCATAGGAAAACTACTAAAAATGAAGCTGACAGACAGAGGAGGGAAAAGGAGACAAAATTATTGAATTTATGTAGATCAAGACAAATACGAAGATCATAATTCAGCTCTGAAACAGTAATTCCAACTTTTTTAATAAAAATAATCCTAGAACACTACACTGAAATTCTCCCATAAACAACACATTATCGATAATTAAAAAAAGATGAATCAGACTGTCATTACACAGAGGCACTTCAGTATCAGAGGATTCAAAGGGTAGCTATGGACTCAGTGGTGACAAAGGGATGACACATAACATCAGTAAGATAGCCCATCAACTATTCAATCCATTTTCAGGACCTCATTTGCCCTTTCCTCTAACAAGGCCAAAGAGAAACATACAGTTGTCTATAAAACATAGTTAAGTCTTTGCAACTTTGTACTTTTGGGGCCAATGGACAAACCTATCCGCCTTTTTCAAGCAACAATAATGTGGGCAGAGACGTTACATTCCTTGGGCACCTTTTGGAATACCAGTCAAGCTCCGCCACTCTTCCTTCACCATCTGATTCCAGAGCTGTCTTTCTCCATGTAGACTACTCATTTGCAGAACACAGTACACTATCAAACATGGGTGAAAAATTCATAATGCCTTGAAAATTAGCCTTCAGTATTTGATAACTCAGGACAAGCAAGCCAATGAGAGGGCATTATGAGACATGTAACAAATGAGAAGACAATCAGAATATATTAGCTGGTTGCGTTCCTATCTTGATTGGCAGATCAGAACACGTCAGTGATGCAGACAGTTTACTATTTTATTTTTTAAAGTTTGCAAAGGCAGGTACTTATGTTAGATAGGGGAAGTCTCCAGCAAGCCGCTAGTACCATCATTAATCCTGAATTAGTTAATGCCCTCTAGTGGTGAAACAAAAAACACACAGATTATTTCTTCTTGATGGAAATATTGTTATTCTTCAAACTGCTGTTAATGTGCCTAACAGCTTACCCAAATACTAAATTTCACCCAGCACAAAATGAAAAACGCAAATTCCAAAATAACTGAAGGACAACCACAATGTTTTAGAAAAAACGAAAAACAACAGGAAGTCTGTAACAACAACAACAGAAATGTGACAGTTCAATTGTAATCTCTGAACGAATGCATGGGCAGAAGGAAAGGGAATCTCTTCTTGTTATCATCAGGTGTATCTGAAAATTATGCCTGTGAGCAAACTTTCTATGCTGTCATGCTATAAAATGTTTAAGTGCTAATGTGTCATGGTTTAACCCCACCCAGAAATTAAGTACCATGCAGCTGCTGCTTGCTACCACCACCCCATGTCCTGTTGGGATGGGGAGAAGAATGGGAAAAAAATAGTAAAAACCTTGGTTTGAGATAAGAACAATTTAATGGTTGAAATAAAATAAATAATATACCAGTAATGAAAAGAAAGAGAACCAAAAGAGAGGGAGAAATAAAACCTAAGGCAGACAAGTGATGCACAATACAATTGCGCACCACCTGCTGACTGGCACCCAGACTGACTCCAACAGCAGCTGGGACTTCCCTGTCACCTCCCCCCAGTTCATGTACTGAGCAGGATGCTCTATGGTACGGAATACCCTCCTCACTGGCAGAGGACGAGAGACTGAACGATCAGTGTAACAACTAAAACATCTGTGTGTTATCAGCATTCAGCATATTCTCAGACTAAATCAAAAACACAGCACTGCACCAGCTACTAGGAAGAAAATCTCTTCAGTTTGGATCTAGATCCAAAGAGAAGCTAATCCAAGCAAACCAAAAAACAAAACACCAAGCACAGCCCAAGCCAACTGCAAGCAACTGTTCTACAGAAAGAAGACAACCCCCCAAAACCCACACTTCCTGATCTCCCTAATCCACAGTCTCTAGTTTTATTTTGTATAATGTGAAGACTGCTAAAGCATGTAAGCATTTAAGCCAGAAATTTTAACATCAGAATTTTGATGATAAAAATTTTTATGTTTGTCTGAACACTTATGATTTCAGGAAAACACCAATTCATAAGGCCTGCAAGGCTTATAAAGTCTACTAAATACAATACTCTCCAAATAAGCTATCTCCTCCCCTTTAGACCCTTCAAATCCCACCATATTCAACCATTTTACCTGTAGGTTTAACAGAGTAGAACCCAATAGCCTCTCCTCCTTTCCACATGATCTTAGCATATTCATTGCTACGATGACAGAGAAATGGGATCTCATTTCTTTCCATTTCTTGCGTCCGATAGATAATTCTATTCAAAACATAGAGAACAATCCTCTCTCCAACAGACTTAACCTAAGGAAACAGAGAACATACAGAAGCGTAGTCAGATTAGTTAACACTCACATATCAAGGACCTTATTTTTCAAAGCTTTCCACGTTGCAGATGGAGTCAAGAAAAGCTGTAAGTGCTAAAGCAGGATGAAGCTCTGGGGTTTGTTTGAAAGCACAGAGATGCTTAGAAGCCATAGCAACAGGTCAAGTAAAAGGCCTACCACAGACAGAGGATATTTCTCAACTTCAGCATCACTCCTAATACAATGGGTAAAGCTGAGAGAAGTGCTGGGAGTGTGATGGTGGGGGGAATGTTCTGATTTCAACGCAAAAAAAAAAAAAGTATCTGGATTTAAGAAACATTCACCAAACACAATCATAATCATCACGATGGCTTGACTTCATGAACAAAGATTTGGGAAGGGCTTTACCCACGCTTACTACAAACGCACTGATGACTAAAAAGGCCAATGTGGGATAAGCAAATCCGGTTGCAAAAAGCACATCAGAAGGTCTCCTTGGGTGGTACAGGCAGGGCACAATTCTTCCTACGTTGTCTGTTCTCCTCGAGACTAATTCTGCATGTGTTCTCAAAGGAGACAAGAGTGTTACGTATGGTGTGTCTCAAGTCTCCCGATTGGAGGCCAAGGTGGACCACTGATGGTAGTCACTATGGCCAAGGCTAAGGTATTGTTTCAGGGAATCCTTGTATCTCTTCTTTGGGGCACCTCTCTTGAGGCAACTGGTGGCGAGTTCACCATAAAACACGATCTTGGGGAGGTGGTGATCCTTCATCCTAGAGACGTGCCCTGCCCAGCGCAGCTGCAGGTACAGCAATATGGCCTCGATACTGGTGACCCCTGCCTGTTTAAGGACAGTGACATTTGACACACAGTCAGTCCAATGGATGTTTAGAATTGTACAGAGGCAATGCTGCTGAAAGTGTTCGAGGAGTTGCAGGTGATTGTGGTAGATAACCCGTAATTCAGACCCATATAAAAGAGTAGACAATACAATGGCTCTATAGACACTGATCTTTGTACTTTTCTTCAGGTGTTTATTGCACCAGACTCTTCTATGGAGTTTTCCAAAGGCTCTATATGCCTTTGCTATTCTGTTGTCTATCTCCTTGTTGATCGTGGCATCTGAAGAAATACGCTTCCCAGACAGCTGAACTGCTGAACTGACTCAAGCTCTGACTCGCCAATGGTGATGTTGGGATGATGATAATCTTCTTGTTGTGCAGGTTGGTAGAGAACTACTGTCTTCTTCAAGCTGACTTCCAGCCCAAAAACCTTAGCTGCCTCTGCAAAGCAAGAAGTTACATGCTGCTGAGCTGCTTCTGCGTGGGCAACGAGGGTGGCATCATCGGCAAAAAGCAGTTCACGGACAAGATGATTTAGGGTCTTAGTGTGGGCCTTCAGTCACCTTAGATTGAATAGGCTACCATCAGTATGATATCAAATATAAATGCCATTTTGATTGTCGAGGTCTACCATAGCCCTTTGGAGCATCATGCTGAAGACGATTGTGAATAAAGCTGTTGTGAGAACACAACGCCTGGTTATCAGGAAGGGCTCAGAGATGCCATATCTGACTTGGCCGTGCTGATCCTCATGTAACAGAACAATGGGTAACGCTGAGAGAAGTGCTGGGAGTGTGATGGTGGGCGGAATGTTCTGATTTCAAAGCAAAAAATTTTTAGCTTTAAGGAACATTCACCAAACACAATAGCAGTACACTAGCCTCAGACTTCCCAGGCTAGCTGTTAACTGGAGTCCCACAAAGCAGGATGAGCCCCATGACATAGCAGGACTTGGCACACTCAATCACTGCCAATAGAGTGGCAGACAAAAGGACATGATGCATTCAAAAAGCTAGTTATGAGTCTGAGGTATGAAATAAGGAACTCAATATCCTTTTCTCTGTCCTGCAGGGTTCCTCTTACACATGAAATTTAAGTTCACCAGTCTGAAGGAAGAATGGAGGAACCATGCTTTCTTCCCAATGTCCACAGTCTCTGCTACCCTACCTGTAAAGGATTCAGCTTTCCTGATTTAATCACCACCCTACCATTAAGAAGCACATGGAAAACAAGGCTGATTGTCAAAACCTCTAGACTAAATTAATAAAAAAAAAAACAGAAATCAGACAAATGCCCAGATTCCATGAGCAGATATAAATTACACTCCTGGAAAAATACAGATTTCCAGTTTCAGAAAAAAAAAAAATCAACAAACAAAACCAAACAAAACCCTCAAAACTCCATGTTACATAAGTGTCAGTAATGGTAACAAAGGTCAATGATGAGCAATAAAGCAGATACCAGCAAACTCACTTTTACAAACCTCATATTGCCACTGCAAGACACCAGCTCCAGCTCACCTCTATCAACTACATTCCCAATAATATTTTTAGCTTACTAGTCTCCTGTTAAGGCCAACAGGTACTACTATTGTACAGTGCACCACCCTAAGACGTTTCAATACAGCCACATATACAGTGTTCTAAAAAGTAACGAAAACTCTTTATCATTAACATCTAAATAGCCTACATGTGAATTTACTGTATAAGAAGCACTTCTGCTTTAGACACTATCTTCACAACCAAGTTCCCTTCCCTCTACTACCTGTTCTCCTGTTCCCACTGACCTTGCTTTTGACTGACATCCAGAAATGAGCCAACTCATTTCTAAATGAAATGAAAATACGTATCTCCCACACAGTAGCTATTTGCCATTACTTTTCACTACCTTGAAAGGTAAGAATAATTACAGGGTGCATGCTGGAGCACTTTACCTGATGAAGCCCCTGTCTAGCAGAGACAGATGTTCTCACAATGTCATCAATTGACCACCACTTGTCAGCAAGATACAGGGCCACAGCTTGAAAGAAACAAGGGAAATAAAATGTTAGTGATTCTTACTATAGCAAGAAAAACACTCATGAAAGCTGCTAAACAGGAATAACACTGTAGTAACCAGGCATTACTACAGTATTGTTCAGTAACCATGAAGTATAAAATAATCATCTTCTAGCTGACACTGTATTAATGCAGCTCTTACTACCCTAACACAACAAATGTTGTTATATATACCCCCCATATGCAATACTCCCCAGTCTAAAACTCATTTGAGAACTGAGAACAATAAAACCAAATGCAGATTTCTGCAGTATGACATACAAAATCCTGTTTTTCAGACATAGGAACTATTCCTCAAGACTGTGCTCTAGCACATCCTTAGACTAGAACTTGGGCCTGCCAAGAGGAGTATCACTCGCACATGTATTTTAGTTTTGGGTTGCTAATAGATATTATTATTGAAACTCTGTAAGTTTTAGGGAGTCAGATGAATTTAAAAGGCTGTTGGCATTGTGATTAGCAATCATGAAGAATTTGCACATAGCATTAAATGGAAAGGAAACATGGAGGACTGGAAGGGAAGGGAGAAAGGGGAAAAAGCCCAAAACAAAATTTAAAAAAAAAAAAAAAAAAAAAAACCAAACCCAAAACCCATGAGATGTCACAGAACCATAGAATGCCGTGAGTTGGTAGAGACCTGAAAGATCATCTAGTTCCAACCCTCCTGTCACAGGCAGGGATGCCTTTTCCAGTAGACCAAGTTGCTCAAAGCCCCATCCAACCTTGCCTTGAACATTTAAAGGGATAGGGCGGTTACAGCTTCTCTGGGCAACCTGTGCCAGTGCCTCAAATCTACCTTCTTTCAGTTTAAAGCCATTCCCCCTTGTCCCAACCCTACATGCCCGTGTAAAAAGTCCCTCTCCACATTTCTTACAGGCTGCCTTTAGGTACTGGAAACTGCTCTAAGGTGTCCCTGGAGCCTTCTCTTCTCCAGACTAAACAAACCCAGCTCTCTCAGCGTGTCTCCATAGCAGACATGCTTCACATCTCTGATCATCTTCCTGACCCTCCTCTGGACTCACTCGAGCATGTACATGTCCCTCTTTGTGTTGGGGCCCCAGAGCTGGATGCAGTACTGCAGTTGGGGTCTCACGAGGGCAGAGTACAGGGGCAGAATCACCTTCCTTGACCTGCTCCTTTTGTTGCAGCCCAGCACACACTGGCTTTCTGGGCTGCGAGCACGCATTGCTGGGTCATGTTGAGCTTTTCGTCAAACAGCACTCCTAAGTCCTTCTCCTCAGGGCTGCGCTCAACCCAGCCTGAATTTGTGCTTGGGATTTCCCGAAACCAGGTGTAGGACATTGCACTGGGCTTTTCTGAACTTCAGAAGGTTTGCACTGGCCCACCTCTCAAGTATGTCAAGGTGCCTCTGGATCCCATCCCTTCCCTCCAGCGTATTGACCACACCACACAGCTTAGCACTGTCAACAAACTTGCTGAGGGCACTCAATCCCACTGTCCATGTTGCCAAGCTCCAGTTCCAGTACCAACCCATGAGGAACACCACTTGTCACTGATCTCCACTTTGACATTGAGCCGTTCACCACAATTCTCTGAGTATGACCATTCAGCCAATTCCTTAACCACTGGGATCCATCAAACCCATGCCTCTCCAATTTAGAGACAAGGATGTTGTGCCGGGACAGTGTCAAATGCCTTGCACATTCAGGTAAATGACCTCAGCCTCTCTTCCCTTATTCACCAACATTGTGGCCAACACAGTTTGCTCTTAGTGAAGCCACACTGACCATTACTTATCATCTGCTTATTGTTCACGTGCCTTAGCATAGTTTCCAGGAGGATCTGCTCCATGATCTTGCCAATCAAGGTGAGACTGAATGGCCTATAGTTCCCTGGGTCTCCCTTTTTTCCCTTTTTAAAGATGCAAGGTTATATTTCCCCTTCTCCAGTCAGCAGGAACTTCACCAGACTGCCACAGTTTCTCAAATATGACAACGTTTTGGCAACTTCAGCTCCCAGTTCCCTTCAGGACCTGCCGATGCATCTCATCAGGTCCTACAGACTTGTGCACTTTCAGGTTCTTTAAATGATCTTGAATCTGATCTTCTCCTACAGCAGCCAGTTCTTCATTCTCCCAGTCCCTGCCTTTGCCTTCTGCAACACGGGCAGTGTGCCAGCAAAGACTGGCAAACCGAGGCAAAAACTTTACTGAGTACTTCAACCTTCTCCACATTTCAGGTAACCAGGTCTCCCATTTCCTTCCAGACGGGGGCTGCATTTTCCTTTTTCAAAGCACCAACTAGATCGGAAAATACCTTTAAGATCATCAAGTTCAACCATTACCCCAGGACTGTCTAGACCACCACTAAACTGTATCACTGAAGGCCTCATGTACACAGTTTTTGAACACTACCAGGGACAAACATTCCAGCACTTCCCTAGGAAGCCTATTCCAATACCCGATAACTCTCCCAGGAAGAAATTTTTCCTAAGTGAAGAGATTTTTCCTAAAAATTTTCCTTCCTTTTACCCACAATGTACCTACAGAAATTTTTCTTGTTGCCCCTTGATTGATGTCCCTGGTCAGATTTAATTCTATCAGGTCTTTAGCTTTCCTAACCTAATCCCTGGCTATTTCTCTATATTCCTCCCAGGCTAACTGGCCTTGCTTCTACTATCTGTAGGCCTACTTTTTATGCTGGAGTTTGTTCAGGAGCTCCTTGTTCATCCACACAGGCGTCCTCGTGTTTCTGCCAGACTTCCTCTTTGTTGGGATGCACTACTCCTGAGTTTGGAAGAGGTGATCCCTGCTTGGGCTCCTCTTCCCTCCCAAGCTTTATCCCATGGCACTCCACCAAGCAGATCCCTGAAGAGGCCAAAGGCTGCTCTCCTGAAGTTCACAGTAGTGAGCTTGCTGTGCACACTCTTCATCACCCTAAGGATCTAAAACTCCAACATTTCCTGGTCATTGAAGCCACTGCTGCCCTTGACCTTCACATTCTCCACCAGCCCCTCCCTGTTGGTGAGGGCAAGACCCAGCACAGCCTCTCTCCTCACTGGTTCTTCTATCACTTGTAGAAAGAAATTATCATCAACACATTTCAGGAATGTCCTGGACTGCTTATGCCCTGCTGTGTTGATCCTCCAGCAGAGCATCAGGGTGGTTGAAGTCCCTCATGAGGACCAGGGCTTGTGAACATGAGGCTATCTGTCTAGAGGGCCTCATCCACTCAGTCTTCCTGATCAGATAGCCTGTAGCAGACCCCCTTAGCTAAAGCTGTGTTATGGCCTAATGCTAAAGACAATTTTATACTTCATGCTGACCAGTAACTGCTAATAAAGAGCCTCTAAATTTATGACAGAATTAACAGATTCTATGAGTGCTTAACAAATTCCTTTTGGAGACATGAGATGCACACAAAACCACCAAGAGATACACATTGTATTAGAATTCAGACAAGCACCATGCTGTTTTGCTACATACCTTCTGAATTCAGTGGGTCCACCTCTACTCTGATTAGCATATAAAGGTCTATCACTTGTGTATAGGAATCCACAACAAAAATAATAGTATGGGAACAAGAACACAGTGAACAACAAATCCAAGAGTGGCAAAGTTATGAACTACACTAGCATGGAATGAACAAGGACTTGGTTATCTGTCTTTGTCACAGAAAAATAAACAGCAACACAGATTAAAATCTTAAAATGAAACCTGTGATTGAGTCCCGTGGTGAAAACAAAGCAAGAACCTTGTGTGTCTGCTCTTCACCATAAAGAGGAACAAAGCCCACAGCTGACAACTTAATAGGAACCTGAAACAAAAGCATACAACAATAGACTCTTGCTAAAACAACATTAGTAAAACACACAAAGATTGTTTAGCAGGGTAAGCATGACAAATGTTAAAACCAGAGTGCTTAACAAGTTAACTGTAAAGGACGTGCATTGGATCTGATCCCTCACTTTAGACATTTCTTCCTAAAGACAGACTAAATTACAAAGAGCTCTGGCTCTCAAGCTCTTGCAGTTAGCTACAGCAATTTATACTGTTACAGCTCTCTGCTGTCAGCAGTTTGCATTTATGTGCACAACCAAAATAAGTTGCACAAAAAGCCAGCAGTATCTCCACTTCAACTGTCCCAGCTATGCAAGCTGTCAAAGCCAACAGGAGAAAAAAAAGGCAGTCAAAGGAACTGCTGTTTGTTAATACTACCCTAATGTGCTATGGTGGGAAGGCTGGATTCAAAAGGGTTTTTCTCCCTTAAACTGCACACATTTTAGAAATTCCAAAGTTGTCTGCTTGATTTCCCCTCAGGAACAACATGAGAAGGGTCAAATCAATGCATCTTTCAGGAATTTCTTTGTGGAAATGCATTCTGATATTTAAATTCACATGTTTTTCTATATATATATTTAATGCATAAAGACTAGACAGACATTGATGGTGTGGTAAATAAACTCGCTTACCCAGTTTAATAAGGTTATGATATGCTATGCCACAAACTAGGATGTCAATAACAAGTATTCAGGCATACAGCACCTGCAGAAATGCAGGAAAGGACTCAAGACTCTGCTTTCGCCGTGGCATCTGCAGCAGGGACCTTCCTTCCCCACAGAGAATCCTCTCAGGTTACTTCTCATTAATGCTATACACCATTCCAGTGTACTAGTTCTAACAGAAATGCTCACTAAGACAAAACCAGCATTGACCAACTCATCACACATGGGATAAGTGTTTAAAAGTGTCACAGAGTATTTCAGATAAAAAGAAAACAATCATTTCTGAAATCAGTGAAACTTGCTGATCAAGAACTGAACTCAACCATGAAGAACAGAAAGGACTGATACACAAAAACAGCCAGTTAGCTTCAGTAAATCATGAACTCCTTAGTTCACAGTAGATTTTTTGACTTTTAGGAAAGAATGACTCATTAGTTGAAAAGTTTTTTTTGCTTTTTCTGGTGGTGATGGTGGGTTTTTTTGTTTGTTTTTTTTTTCTTAATGCACACAAATCCATTGCCTAGAAGCAGCAAATAGTCACTGATCTAATGTGTCAGATTAAACGTCCAGATTGAAGTCCAGTTACAGAATGAAAAAAGGTATAGCGTAACATAAACAGGAATTTGTAAAACAAAAAAGCATTGCTAAAATAATTATGTCATTCAATAGCTATGGACTGGATATTTTAAATCTTTTAAATCTACAGGTATATCAAGAAAACCGGGAGTAAGGTCGTAGCTGGTTCTTACTTTGCCATGGGCTGGCAGCGACAAGAATTCAGGACAGTTTGGGCTTGCAGACCGCAGGTTACACAAGTACTTTTCTGCTGAGTTCTTCAAGTCTTCATGACTGGAGTTAACCAATATATCCACAGGGAATGATGCCCTCTTGAGAAATCAACAAGATTATTACTGTAGGCAGTTTGAGACATATGATGCACATTTTATCACATATTCCCCTCTACTAGTTTCTAGAGCCCTTTATATCCAAACCAGAAAGGAGAAACACTCCGAGCATTAAATTAGGATTAATACCCTGTCTGTAAAACAAACAAACAAACAAAAAAAAAAAAAGAAAAAACCCTGAACCCATTCCGTTTTTATAAGCAGAAAAGAATGGTTTAGTCCATAGATTCCCCCTAGACCCAAACATGGAAGCCTTCCAACATACAAATCCCTGTTTGCAGAGCACCTACAGTAGATCACATGCTCTCTTGAGGTGGCAGGCTGAGTTATCTCCCTCCCAGCTGATATTAAGCAGTAAGTGTCCAGTCAAATAAACAGCATGAAACATCACAAAAAAAGAAATTGATTTATTTTGGAGATAGCATTTAAATCCATCTCTGAAGAAGCCACAGCAATGTTCAGAACTTTTATCAACAACTGGCCAGTCAGTGTGCCTACCAGCTGTTTGTTTGAAAAAGCATGTCAACTATGAAAAAGATCATACAAGCTTGTTAAAACAAGAGACAATAGACTAAATAGACACTTCAAGGAGGTGAGAGGACAGACTAAAGCACTGAAGATCACCCATAGTGGCAATAGCTCCTTTGAAAGCTCTTAGATTCAAATTTTCATTGCCAAAGAGGAATAAAAATTAAGATGAACAAGAGCTGCTCTTCAGCTAAGGCTTTTCCAGGTCTATAAAACCATACACAAAACAGATCCATCAGCTTCTGTCAAACTACAAGCGTAAGTACCACAAGACCACGTTCTGGAGGAACACAGGGTTCTCTTTATCTGTCTCAGCTCCCAGGAACTCATCACCCAACTCTCAAAATGGCAATGCTTTTCACAGGGGATCTATGGTTCCTAGTTTCCCCTACAGTCTTTTTTTTTTTTTTTTTTTTAATTTTAAATATTAATTTCCAATGTTTAGGTTTTTTTTTTTTCCTTTATATCCAGTCTCCCCCTTAATACACCAGTGTTCTACTGACACAGGTAAATCACACGCAAAGGAACTTTTTATTTTGACTAACTCAGTAACAGTTAAAAAGTCTGCATTTAAAAATCCTTTTGACAGCAATAATATATTACTATTAAGGTACCTGAACAGCTGAGGAAGCTCCTTCTACAGAAGTGGGGTTTTTTTTTTTCTGTTAAAATATAAAAACTTGGATATGACTTCACTGAAATTTACAACTGCTACTTTCATTGCTTTTGCTGATGAAGATACTACTGCTTTCCATGTATGTTATTTAGACATACACACATTCCCTGCAGCCATTTCTTCTCAAATTCAGCTGATTCCTTCCTCTTATCTGACACACATTCCACACAGCCATTTCCTTTTGAATTCAGCTCATTCCTCCTCCTTACATTATTTCAATTTCCTCTTGCCTTCCCCTCCAGTCTCTCACATTCCTTCTGTTATTGTTTATCTCTTTCAGATATGCTTAGCAGCATCTCTTAATGTTCCACCTGTTTCTTCTCACCTTCTAGATGCTGCCCTTGCTAACAGGGCAGAAGCAGGCAAGAGACACCTGATATCAGCCAGCTCCATTTGCTCCTACAGCTTGCAGGCAAAGGGACTTCAGGAGCCAAAGGTGAAGCCATGTATGTCTTCTAATCCAGCAACAATGCACAGCAGCAAGAGGAGCTGCTGCCAGGAAGAAATTCATCCAATGCTGGCCTACTTACCTAGAGCAGGTAGGGTTTATTCACCTATTTAGAGTTCTGAAACACAACAGCAACCCTGCAGTAGATGTAAATGGCCTAGCCTCATAAAAACATATTGCAAGAGTAACAGTAAGAGGCAAAGTGTGATACTACATGTCACTGCTTCTACAAGGGGAGGCTTTAGCATCCATTTAGCTGCAACAGGCCAGGTAAATTCTGATTTAATGGCATACAGACACATGAAAAACATTAAGTTTTATTTTCTGTTTGCTGGCAGAAGGGGGAAAGACCCCTCCACTACTAACGAAATTCCTAAGCACTTGGATAACTGAAAATAACAGCCAAATTGAGCTGAGCTTTTGTTACTACAAACAAAGTTCACAAGCTGTAACTAGAACCCTAGGTAATAATTCCTGACATTTTTTGGAATAAAATAATGTAGGACCAGAGCAGAAAACATGCAAAAGTTCAGTAGATTATCCGAGTTCCATCTACTGCACCGCTACAAAAATAAAAGCATCAACCTTATCTTTGCTTTATAAGCAAAACAGAATGCCCAAACACAAAAATGTCTATTCTGCTAATTAAGAAATTCTTTGAATTACCCTCAAAATCAATACCCTCCTTTCTGATTAGCTGTTTAAGTTACCACTTTCATATAGCATACTTTGATTTTATCCATTCCCAAATCACTTCTATTAGTTACTTTTGACTTTTCATCTTACAGTATTTACAGAGAAATGTTTACATAGGAGAAAAAAAACAACAAACCACCCCAAAAACCAATACAGATCAAGACTGAATCAAAAAGTCTACTCAGCATCCCTGCTAATATCGTAATTTGTACCATTGCAGCAGACTAGTGACCAAGTATGTAAAACTACAAGCTCTCAAACACTTGTGTTACACAATCTGTCTCAGTGTTGATAAGATCAGAAATATTTCACATGTAATCTCATTAGATCCCTGAAGAAATTAGGAACTATACATAAAGTTATCAAGTTACATTAAAAGCATTAAACAGGTGATGAAAAGAGAATGTTACATGGCAATCTACAGCCAAGCATTAAGGAAGTAATTCAACAGTCCAAAACGCAATCATCATTTTCAAAGGCAAACTAACCTACCAAAGACAAACCAAATGGCTTTCAATAGCAATGATTGATATATTTTCCTCACAAAACCACAACTGTTTTGTCAGCATCTTTAAAGTAAAAAATATAGATGGCCCCACATCCAGCCAGTGTCATATAATGCAGGAGAGGAAAAGAAAAAAAAGGAGAATACAGGTTTTCAGTTTCTCTTGAGAAGATAACTGTCTCTGCAGGAACAAGTCTCTGCCACAGTTACTCGTGCGTTCTTTTGTTGCTCTAAGCCTCCATGCATTGCACAACTGTAAAACTGTCAGGTCAAATCCTTGTCACACACAGATTTTGCTGTTTCATGAGGTACCACTCCAATTGGTTAGCACGGTCAGGTTGACCGAATGCATGCAATGTAGCCTTAAGCAACCAAAGTCATCATGACTGTTTCTACAGAAGGCACTGATGTGTGTTTGAAGAGGGGGAGCAAAATCTATCTTATTGTTTAAATGAGGAAAATTATGCTTTTCATGTTTCAACTGAAATAAATCTTACACCCTTCATAACTGTATCATTTCACATCGTAGTATTACAGACTGTATGTATTAAACTCACATACGCAACATCTGCTTTAATGAGGAATCATGCGACTTTCCCCCTTGTCAGCATTGTGCAAACTACTATGCAAAAAATGGCACGTCTTTTTTAGGAACAGCTGCAGCACCAGAGGGTAACAGACATCAATTCAAGGAACACCAACAAACCCCACATTTAACAGGATGAGTGAACACGTTCCTGTGCAACTGAGGCAGCTCCTCATTCATTAAATCTTTATTACCATAAGCATTAAGGGTAAAAAAATCCCAAACAATTAAATATAGAGTAAGTGTGCAATGTTGAAAATTGATTTAATTACAAATTATAGCTGCAACCTCTGTTTCATCTTAGAAGTGCATGCAGGAGAGATGCACAGTAAATGCAGCTTCCAGCCCACACTTGGATTTCAGCAGGAATCAAGAGATCTCTTCATCCCCTTGCAGACCCACAACACTGAGCACCATGAAATAGCAGAAAGAAAATAAGCCAAAGCTATATTGTTTGTTACACCATTTCAGAGGGCTTAAATACATCTTAAAACTCCTTCTAGGTGCCTTTATCTTCAGGGAACTGAAGTCTAAGCTGTCTGGCAAGGATTTAGAGCAATCAAGATGAATTTCCAGCTCTAGCACAGATGTCATGTGACTGATCTGCCCAAACTCATCTACAAAACACTAATAATTATCCATTTATTAATTATTAATTTATTATTATTTATTATTAATAATAAATATTATGAAGTATGAAAAAATACTTCACAGAGATTGAGATACTTAAACACAAGTTGTATCAAACCTTGAGCAGTACTGGAATAGATGAAGACTTACACAGCACAACCTCACTGTGTTGGTAATTTTCCCTTTAAAAAAAGGAATCGCAAACAATCCACCAAGGACTTTTCAACCTAAAATAACTGGGACAGATGAACATGTCTGGCATAACAAAAATGTGCAAAACTAAAGCAGGTGAGCAATCTTCAGATTGTGTTTAACAATAAACAGTAATAATTTAATTAGTCACGGTTTGAGGGTTTTATTTTTTAATTTTGGTTGGTTTGTTTTGGTTTTTGTTTGGCTAAGGTTTGGGTTTTTGTTGGGTGGTTTTGGGTGGGGTTTTTTTGTGCATGGTTTGTTTGGGCTTATTTTTTTCTTACTATAATTTGAAATTTAGAAACCAGACACTGGATTGTTCAACTATAATCTTCAGAACTCTTTCGCTAAACCAGGACAAGCAATCCAGCCCCAGCCTGCAGGATGTCAGCTCACAGAACTCCTAAATGATTGTCATGTATTTATGAATCATCATGGACCTTGAACCAAGTTCTATTTTAAAAATATAATCCTACCATGATCTCCCATACTATCTATAAGGTACATCTGGGGTAGCATCATGAGACGATCACATGAATTAAATATATATCCCATATACACACTAGCTGCTAATGTTCCAGAGAAAATAAAGCCAGGACTGCAGAAGTGCCAAACCATGCTCCAGAACCAGACCTAATGATGCACCATACCAGCTTCTCAATCAGAGCTGCAGTAACATAATTTCCTTTTTTCCAGATTAGTTTACCATCTTGCGATGTCC